TTATGAGTAGCTATTGAATAGCTCGTCTATATATTATCTGAATCAATAAATTAACATTTCAAAACGATCGTGTTGTTGTTTGCTTGAGACAATCGTGGAGAGATTTGCCATTGGGAAACGATGCCCGATGTATTGAACTCACCCTGGTTCACAGGCTCGACCTGTATTGCACTCTGCACTTGCATCGAGTAAGCGATCGTTCACAATGGTTCTAATATCTTTCAGATGAGTTTCAATGTCAGGAGGGTGCCTGCATATCTGAGTACCTCGTCTGCAACGGGCATTACGACTGCCCTGATCTCTCCGACGAAATCAATTGCAATCAACACAGTTGTAATTCGACCAGTTTTACTTGCGAGTCTGGGACGTGTATTCCGATTACTTGGAAGTGTGACGGCGAGGTGAGTCCAATGTTTTTTTTTTATACATATTTTAAATAATATAAAAATCTGTCGGTGGGAAAATACTTTTTCCTTGGTTTTATTCGTAGATATGAAATTTGTATTAATTTATTTAATTATTTTTTAAAAAAAGTCTGCAAAATTAATCTCGTATGTCGATGAAGGTGGACTGCCCAGACGGTTCTGATGAAAGCTCTTCATGTGAAAATTACAATTGCCCGACAGAAATGTTCACATGCTCTAATCATCGATGCATTGATTCAATATTGAACTGCAATGGGGTCGACAACTGTGGTGACAACAGCGACGAACGATATTGCGAGGAGAAGATTGATAATAATTATGCAAATTGCACAGATGGCAAATATAGATGCTTGAATACCAACACGTGTATTCCCAATCATTATAGGTCAGAAATTGATTAAATTTAATTATTTCTTCACTATAGTGACAGACTATAAATAACATTTTAAAAGACCGAGTAAATTTTGAACAGAATATCCTTTAAACAATATAAAATAGGGACAGAAAAGATAAAAAATTAAGCCGAACGTACCTCGAAAGGTCAAATTTCTTTTCTTATTCCTCCCTTATGCTTTTCTGTTTTATTCATCCTATTCGATTGTTGTTTTATATGAATTGCACTGATTTTACAGATGTAACGGTGTTCAGAACTGCCCTAAGAACGACGACGAGAACAATTGCAGCCACTGCCTGGCGCAGGAATTTACATGCGACAATCAGAAGTGTATTGATAAGAGCTGGGTGTGCGATATGAAAAACGACTGTAACGATGGGTCTGATGAAAGAGATTGCGATGGGTCTAGTCCGAGGGCGAGGGTCGTTAACAAGAATCCTACTTGCAAAAAGTTTAAATGTTCTAATGGGGCCTGTCTTCCGTTTGAAAGAGTCTGCGATGGGAAGATCGATTGTCTGGATCGTAGCGACGAATCGGGGGAGTGTTGTAAGTATTTGAAGAGAAGGAGAATGTTTCGACGAATCCTGTTCACAATCAGATTTGTCTATATTTATTCTACTTGTGTTACCTATTATAACTCGCAAAGTACATATAATTTCTAACTATATTAGCACAAATGTGAAACTGGGAAATTCGTTTTCTCTCAAATTGCATTTGTTGTACTGCACGAATTTTTAAACGCCTATTGCAGCGATCTCGTGTATCAAGAACAACCCTTGCGCGAACATATGCCACAAAACCCCTATTGGCCCCGTTTGCGGTTGCAGAAGTGGATACAAATTGAGCAGCGATTTGATATCGTGCGAAGACATCGACGAATGTGAGAACGACGTCTGTTCACAAATCTGTGAGAACACTAATGGATCTTTCGTTTGTTCGTGCCACAAAGGGTACATCATTCGAAACGACAGGATCTCGTGCAAAGCAGATGGTAACACGATTTTTCAAGACAAAAATAATTGTTTTATTTAACAAATACGTTATTGCTGTATTTATTATATTATAAATATTCTTATAGGGCCACAAATGGAGTTAATCACAGTGGCTGGTAATCATATCAGAAAATTATCAGCGAACTTAAATTCGATTGAAGTTATCTTCGAGGAAGTAAATGCGGAGATGAATGGTATCGATGTGAATGCGAAAGAAGGGACAGTCTATTGGAGCAATGGTAAAGTACATTAATCAATTAATTAATTTATTAATTTTTTTTAGTACATTTTATATTGAACATTGTGTACAGACGTGTTGGGTGTGATAAGTAAAATAAATATAAAGACTAAGGAACGAAAGAGTGTCACCGGCCTTGGGAGACCAGATGCTCTCGCCCTGGATTGGACTACCAACAACGTGTACTTCAACGATAACGACTTATTCAGTGTCATTAAGGTAGGTCCATTATGAATTATGTAGATTCATTATAAATTGTGACATTCTTTATGACTTCCTTAAACTGTTGTAACACCGAGAGAAAAAAAATCGTAGACACTCCATTTTGATTTTAAATTAAAGCCGAAGGATCAAACTTTCATTTGCCATATACTTCATCACTGAAAAATAATTATTTAAATTCCTGCATGTTGTCAAACGTTGCTAACTCTGGTATTTTAATGATGCCCATTGAATACTATCCACTGGTAGATTTATACTCTTTTATTTCATTCATTATTAAAAAGAAATTCATTACAGGTGTGCAATTTAGAAGAACAGACATGTGCTAAAGTAGTGTCGATTGAATCAAAGAGCAGGGCAATCTCTGTCGCTGTCGAACCCAGAGGAGGGTATATATTAATTCCATGATTCTATAAATTATTTAAACTTCTATGATTCTTTACTTAAAGAGTGAAACTGGGTCATAGGTGGTTGTTTTGGGGTCAAATCTCTTGGATAATGAACGGTGATCCCACGTCAGAAATATATCGATCCACTACAACCGGTGCTAATATATCAAGAATCGTTCATCAAGACCTTGGCGTCGTCTTCGCGTTGACTATTGACTACACGAGATCCAGACTATACTGGTCAGATAGCTCTTTAAAGAAGATAGAATACTCGAATTTAGACGGTTCCAATCGTGGTTTATTTTTAAACACAGGTGTAAGTTATTGAATCTGTAGATTTTATAAAAAACGGAACGTCCCTGTAGAAACGTATTTTCTACTGATAGTTTCCATTTTCCACAGACTCGTCAACCTCTGAGTATTAGCATATACGAAGATTCTATTTACTGGTTGGCAGGTACAACTGGTACCATCGAGAAATGTAATTTGTATGGCCAAAGATCGTGCAAAACGATTTCCCTTGGTAATTCGAATATTGGCAAATATTTTACCATTCTGCATACTATCAGACAGCCTGAAGGCAAGTTGACGTGAAACCACAGAATTTTATAATAATATTATGTTGCAAACTTGCAATGTGCAAACTTACAATATAACAATAATTTGTAATTGAAAATATTTCACTTATTTAACAGTAAACAACGTTTGTGAGAATCACAAGTGCAGTTACATGTGCGTTACTGGAGTGAATGGTCCCACTTGTATTTGTCACGATGGGTACCCGAAAAGTCCTGAAGATATTTGCACGAGGGAGGCAAACGGGAATATTAAATTCGAATCGCAAATAGTTGGTTCTAAGGACGCGGGTATTCGGCGTTCGAGCGGAACGTTGGTGGGTGTAACGATCACCGTTGTGGCGTTCATAGTAATTGTTGTGGCCTATGTGTATTATCAGAAGATTAAACCAATTTTCTCGAAGACCAACAATATCTGGTAATTCGACAAATAAATTATGATGTTCATGGGTTTTTATAAACAGGGTGGCAAACTGCATTATCATTTAATTCATTTGAAAACGAATTGACAATGAATTGATTCATCCAATTCTGCAAGCATTCTGTATCTGCATTTGTATATTTAATTCTTATATTCGCAGTATACAGTTCCAAAATCCTTCGTACGAACGACAGTGCGAGGCCTTCGATTGCGTTTCCAGTTTACCACCTGGAGAACACGAATACGTCAACCCGATAACAGATATACAAAAGGTAAGGAACTTATCGCAAAAATTTCAAATTTAAATTTATCGAATCAACTTATATTTTCTTAATTTAGGATCAGTACCAGAACGATATAAATCAGAAAACTGGAAAGCAAATAATCAAGCTGCTCAATTTCGATGACGAACCGGGGAGAAACAATTTGAAACATGATCTGATATAGAAATGAAGGAACAAATGAGTTCAAAATGTATATAGTAATTTATATAATTTATAAGTGTACAGAAACATTTATACTCCACCTAAACTGTGATTTGTCACAGAAAATCTTTATACGAATTTTTTATTAATTAATTAAATAAAATATATAGAATGATCGATCTTACGTGTGTAGTCATATTTTATTTCTTTCTCTTTTGTGTAAGACTTGCGTTTAATGGTGTTGACAGATAAGGAGATACAGGAATGAGATGAGANGTGCAAATTTACAATATAACAATAATTTGTAATTGAAAATATTTCACTTATTTAACAGTAAACAACGTTTGTGAGAATCACAAGTGCAGTTACATGTGCGTTACTGGAGTGAATGGTCCCACTTGTATTTGTCACGATGGGTACCCGAAAAGTCCTGAAGATATTTGCACGAGGGAGGCAAACGGGAATATTAAATTCGAATCGCAAATAGTTGGTTCTAAGGACGCGGGTATTCGGCGTTCGAGCGGAACGTTGGTGGGTGTAACGATCACCGTTGTGGCGTTCATAGTAATTGTTGTGGCCTATGTGTATTATCAGAAGATTAAACCAATTTTCTCGAAGACCAACAATATCTGGTAATTCGACAAATAAATTATGATGTTCATGGGTTTTTATAAACAGGGTGGCAAACTGCATTATCATTTAATTCATTTGAAAACGAATTGACAATGAATTGATTCATCCAATTCTGCAAGCATTCTGTATCTGCATTTGTATATTTAATTCTTATATTCGCAGTATACAGTTCCAAAATCCTTCGTACGAACGACAGTGCGAGGCCTTCGATTGCGTTTCCAGTTTACCACCTGGAGAACACGAATACGTCAACCCGATAACAGATATACAAAAGGTAAGGAACTTATCGCAAAAATTTCAAATTTAAATTTATCGAATCAACTTATATTTTCTTAATTTAGGATCAGTACCAGAACGATATAAATCAGAAAACTGGAAAGCAAATAATCAAGCTGCTCAATTTCGATGACGAACCGGGGAGAAACAATTTGAAACATGATCTGATATAGAAATGAAGGAACAAATGAGTTCAAAATGTATATAGTAATTTATATAATTTATAAGTGTACAGAAACATTTATACTCCACCTAAACTGTGATTTGTCACAGAAAATCTTTATACGAATTTTTTATTAATTAATTAAATAAAATATATAGAATGATCGATCTTACGTGTGTAGTCATATTTTATTTCTTTCTCTTTTGTGTAAGACTTGCGTTTAATGGTGTTGACAGATAAGGAGATACAGGAATGAGATGAGAGGGGGAAGCAATATAAATAGAGTGAGACTTGAAGCACTGTTGTATAGCGTATGGCGTATACGGATTATTACGGATAGAGTCAGTCTGACCAGGTCTGACATCATATTGTCCTTTTCTACTTGCCCCTAGCCTACATCAGTACCCCATTACTAGTCTTCGGCAGCGATGCAATAAGGAAGTTGGATATTTTCAGGCTTAGTCAAAGAAAATGAAATAAAGGCTAGAATCTGACTAAGAATTTATTTATTCATCAAGGTACAATCGTATTTCTTCGTTTATTTGCATTATTTAATAAATTAAACGAGTGAAAAGTGTTCTCGGAAAGCGCGTGCAGTTCGATGATCCTATTTTTTGTGGGCGCCTGGTTTTTTAGGTGCGAATTCTAATCCTCTTATGTAGTTTTTCTTAATTTGATATTTTTCTGAAAAGTCGATGGTTGCTTATAGGTAGCGAAAGGAATTTTCGTTGCAAACTTGATAATCAGACTGCGGATTTTACGCATTTATTAAATAATTGTGCTGCGAATGCAAACGTTGCATGAAGTATAAACGACGGCGTGAAAATGTACAAAATATAAGAGGCGACTTCATATTGCGATACCTAAATGATCAAGAAAATTGCAATCTGAAACTGACTGTCTTGTCTTCTGTTTTCGGTAAAAATCCACAGTCTACTAATAATTTCTGCTTGCTACTCACCTGTGAGTAATTTATACACGTATAAAATCTGATTCCCTTGTACGAGAACGCTAGGAGTTTTCTTCCCCGGTTCGTCCGTAATCGTCGCGCTCGCACCGATGCTCTGGCATTCTTTACTGAATTCCTTCGAGTTTATTCCGAACATTTCTAAATTATTTACAAGCGTCACCTGCAAAGAATCAGCTAAATAAGAGTTACATTGATACATTTACAATTAGAGACTCCCATTAATATTCGGACATACTTCAAATTCTCTACTCCGTATTCGCTACTCGCTACTCGTTACTCCTTTCTCTTCTAACATTCCACAGGAAGTTAAGTTCCTTCATCCGATATTAACCCTTCGCACTCGATTTATATATAATAAATCTCTATTTTCACCTCCAGCATGACATACGACTGCACAGGGTCAAAACAGTTATTTCATTTCGAAATATCTCCGAATATTAATAGTCTAATTTCTATTTCGTTCATCCAATTTAGGAAATCGATTTTTATACCTTCTTGCCACTGGCTCGCACAGTAACCCTCATATCGATAGGTTCTAATTTTCCCGTATGTAACAATTTATTCCCAGCCAATGTAATTTCATGCATGTGCGTCATGCGTCCAATAAATTTATTTATCCCGTCCTCCATCGTGATAGTTTCCTGGTTGACTTTCGTCTTCATAATACCCGCGAGTTGTGGGTTCAATTTAAGTATTCTATAAAAAAAATAGATGATCACTAATCACACATGAGAAAGTATACAAAAGATTCAGTTAACAGCAACTCACTTTCCATCTTGAAGATTCTCTCGTTTCACGTATTCAGTGAAACATTTTCTGATCTCAGCTCTTTTCATAACGTCCCCTTTTCTGCAATCATCGTATGGGAGTAAAATGGACATAATTCGTATCATATAATATAGCATAATGGTATATGACGTGACAGTTGTCGACTTCTGCTCTGTACAGAAAATCATACCCTTTGCAATTAACTTATCCCGGCGACATAACAGATTCCCCTCTGCGCGGCAGGGAATACTTACTCGTATCCGAATTTCAACAACACCGGTACAACGTCCGCAGTCACTTTGTAACATTCCGAAACGACTGCTGCGTTCGAAGTTTGTGGCTCTTTGGGCAACGAAGGTTCCTCCGTTATAGTCAACCCTTTCAAAAGGGGATGGTCAAACTGCAAGCATGACGTTTTAATAATGAAGTTAATAGAATTATACTTAATACTAGCGGAATTTATTTAAAAAAAAATTACCTTGATGGATAATATACTTTCGACGCCTTTAGTAATCGAAGTGTTGATG